GAGTTTAATAAAATGGTTGGCTTCCTAGGTTTTCTTTTATATTTCATAACATTCTTTTATTTAATTTTTCTGTTTTGCCTAACTGAATACAGACATTCAAGATGGTTGTGTCTATTTTTGTGTCCTGCGCTTACGCAAGTTTAGTCATTTTTTTTTCTATGTAAATGTATCATATAAATACGTATATATTGTATGATTTGTATTTATTTTTGTGTATTTTAATGTGTGTAAAAGAAGCCCCACAGCATAAGGACATTGCAGTAGAGGTTATTCTGAACATCGAAATTGTTGTAGTAAATAATAAAACTGTCAAAATTAAATGACTAAAGAACTAAAATTAGGAAGCTTGAAAGTAGTGGATGCAAGGTGCTCACCTACGCCATTGATATGGCTTTCGTGATCGAAATTCGATAAGCGGTTCTTCTCTCAAAATCAGAACAAACATTGCTACAAGATCGCTATCGGCAAGAGCTGGAAACTCATTTCTAGAGTAGTTCACGGTTTACGGTATTTTGGTGATATTTATTTATATTCATGGAGCTGTATGGTGGAAGACGCTGGTCACAGCAAAACTTGCGGTGGTTAGACTCGGTGTGTCTGGATCTTTGGTTAATTCAAGCTGCGGTGTCATTGAAGCACGATTAAACGGCTCAATCTATCTCTGAGTTAGCGCCAAGTAATTCCTTCTCCAGGGGGTGGGATGGGTGGAATTACCACAGGAAAGGCGCTCTAAGCCTGTTTGCGGTTGAGTCGAGGCTTAAGGGAACCATTCATTGTCAAAGTACTTAGCCTCTCACGTCAATGCTGTATTTCGCAATATGAAGTTTTGAGAAGCGGAAACAATACTGCCTTGGGGCTAATATTTAGTTTGGAAATCCAAGTAAGAATCACTGTGCTAGTTCCTCATTGTGATAGAAGTCGTCTGGAGGAGAAGATAAAATCAACCATACGCTTCCTTTTGAATTGGGTTTATTTTTTTGACATCGCAAGGGATATGCGTGATATATCTCTGTAAAGTCTCCTTGGCATCAGGCATCCTAATCTTCAAACTTCTCTTTTTGGGGTTTTTTTCTCTGCATTTCAAAATGATTGAATCCTGTTCTAATCATTTTGAAAATATACAAGTATTTTATGTATTATATACATAAATACAAGCGTGAAAATATTCATCTCACGCCGAGTAACCCCATGAATTGTAGTTATTGCAATATGTCCAGGAAAATGGGTTTGAAACTCACGTAAGCGTAAGGCTATACATTTAGTGGAACGAAGTGCAAAGCTATTGTGATAGTAAAGAGGAAATAATAAAGGGTAAAAAATACAAATCGGTGGCAGGATATTCTTCAACAATGTGTGAGATCTAAGATGAAGACGCTAAAAATCTTTATTCTTTCCTCTTCTACTTTTTTCCTGTTTTTCCACACTTCATTGTTTTTCGTTTTACTCTGTGCTTGCATAGCGTAGTAATAAGGAGGCCATATTTTTTCCGGAGTTTGTCTTTTGTCAGCAAATTATCAAACTAATCGCGCTCCATAATCGCCTAACAGAATCTGGGACATATTACTCCTGTAGAGCAGGGTATTAAAGAAAATCCGAATGAATCCATCCGCCACGCGCGCAAATATTGTAGCTGTGCTCGTCCCCTTTATCGAAAATTTTTGCGGAAAGATCTTGATTGGCGGGTTTAAGAAATCCAACTCTTACTAGAATTCATGAGTATATAAATATGTATGAACATCGCATGCTCAAAAGTCACTGTCTATGGGCAGCGGGAATTGTTGGTCTATATTTCTTTAAAAATGAAGGCCGCCATAATGTTACAGCCAATGGGGAACGCTACATCATAAACAGCCAAGGGAACAATCAATTAATATTCAATACCGCTGGACAATGTGGGGTTATGTGAAGTCGCTTGTTTACCCGGTTAAGCACGAGACCTTACCTTTTTTTTAACATTAAATTATATGCGTTTAAATGTCTAAAAAAAACCCTTTATGTTGGTCGATATGGAAGGTGTTTAATAGTTTATATCTAAATACACACGCATATACATATTTACATACTCGTATATAAGCAGCTAAGTTTTGTCGTCGCTTTTCCTGTCATTGTCAACATTCAGATATGACATTAACTTGATGGGAGGCATATTAAATGAAAATGACGCCCCACGGCTGTGGCTTTTAGTTTTTATAAACGCACATTCCCATATATTAATGTTGTATGCAAGAGAGTGAATAAACTAGTGAATCAATGAATGGCTGAGTGAGTGAATATATATGTATGTACTTAAGTGAATGCGTGTTGTTATAATTCAATTTTTATCTTGATACACTTCAACGTTATAATGGCGTACATAACGAGTTATGAGTATATAAATATGTATGAACATACTATATATATATGCCTAGATTCATATTTAATGTCTATACAATACGCATACATATGTATACGAATGTATGTAACGTATCTACATTTATAAATTTATTTATACATAAATATCAGCATTTTGCTTGGAAGCTTTTCCATCAGCCGCTGCTACATTTGATGACTTAAATATGAGTAAAATATGTAGTAGGAGTACACAGGTACATATGTTTCTATGATGTTTCTTATCAGTGTGATAAAAAAGTAGATAAGATGAGTATGCGTTGGGCTAACTGGTAAAGGGCAACCTGTTTTTTCGTTTTATTTATACTGAAAAAAATGCTTATACACTTAATATATTATTTTAATTGAAATTTTGAAAAATATTCAGTTTGCGCTATTGAGTCACATAGTTGAGTGCTGCTTTCGTGAGTTAGCCTCTCCTTCGGTCGTATGCGGCACAAAGGCGGTTTGACTGACAAAATGTTTTTTTTTTCTTTTTAGTTTGAAGAAAACTAAAGTGTTCTATAATTAAAAAAAAAAGAAGAAAAAAAAAAACAAAAAAGACCTTTCATGACCATATTAAATTTGTGATCCGAGTTTTTGGATTAAATATTAATTCTTGTACTCGAAAAATTGGTTCGAGGCGGCTGTATGATGAAGTTTTCCGATTTCGATTCTTTTCGGCGATGATGTTTATTTGTATATACAATCCGTGTGGAGAATACAAAATTGCATGCTCTTAGATGCATATTTGACGATTTTTTTTTACTAAAAACCTTTTTTCTGAACCATCTGACCGATTTCGACAAATGGTTGTTTAAATGTGCCGCTGCAACTGTATACCATGTTTGGTTGAAAAATATTTCTAAAAACTGAGGGACTAATTTGCACTCAAATTTAGCTCGTCATTTTCAAGCGAGTTTTGGTAGGTTTATCTCTTCTCCTTCTGGTATTTACCTATTTCGGACCAAAGTTAATGTACCATTTCATTTATATGAACACCACTAAGCATTACAACAGATTAGTTTGCAAATAAAGATGATTAATATATGGATATTTCCGCGAACATGTCAGGCATAATCGAAACAATTTTTAAGTTAAAGATTTTTTTTTGTAAAATTTACTGAATAAAATTTTAATTTCTTTTTAATTCTACAAAAAAAAAAGTTGAAACATAAAAGTTTCAATTTGCGCCTAATTGTAGGCAACGTTTTTGCAATATATCAGTGAATAACAATAAAGTCTGACCTTAAAGATGGGCAATTTTTCTAAAAATCTCAGTCATCAGCAAAGTGCTATTATGGGAAGCTGTTTTTTTTAATTAAATAAACAACCTAAATACATATATTTCTGTTAATTCCATTAGGAAATTCCTGCGATTAAGCCTTTTCATTTCTCTAGTAAAGATTTTGCTATTTAAACTGAAGCGATTTCTAAATAATTTTAAATTTTTTTTAAATATTTTTTTTACATTGCCTTTCATTACACTAATTTTTTTCTTATTCAGAATTTATTATGATAATATTTGAAATTTTATATAGACGTCTTATCAGCTATAGCATTTTTTCACGTTTTCCAAGAATTTTTTTAATAGCAATCAACAGTCGCAGAATCATTTTATAAGATTAAAAGTTGAATGGAATAAAAATGTTGCAATTCAAGTTCAAAGGCAGGTAGGCTTAGTGCTTCAAAGTCGGTTGTCAAAAGTTGTCCAAAACTGCTCATCCGATTTTCAAGAAATTTTACACGGGTTCTTGAGAAACAATTCACAAGGAATCGGAAAAATCTTTAGCAAATTTTACCAAAATCCTTTGTCAAAAAAATAATTTTCACTTTTTCTATTTTCCTTCGTCGTCTGAGTCTATTGGTTTTTACTAAACCATTTTTTTTTTATTTTAGATATTTTTTCAAATGTACATATGTATATCTTTAAGACAGTAAATAGATTGCATTTGACATTTTAATTTTTGTATAAACAATTGTAGAAAATAGACTTTTTTACCCGAATAAATCCATGTGCCCCCTTAAATCTAATATGATTAAGTATGTTTGTAGCGAAAACAATTTTACAAAAATATATTGCATCAATACATATTTTTACAATATTTTGCAAGGAAATATTGTTTTCATTTATTCTCTATTATTTTTCGTTTAGCTGGAGCTTTTTACCATTAATTAATTGGAATGCATATATCTATATATGTATATATAAATATACATATAGCGGTGTGAAATTACAAAAGAATTGAACTGCTGTATTTAGCATTACAATAACAATGAAACAAACTATGCAAACTTTTTTTTTATCGCCCGTTATCATAGGCAGTAATTTTTAGATTTATGGTTTTGATTAGATTGAAACTTGCTTGAAATTGTGCCATATACGTGTAAAATCGATTAACAGTGCTGCTACTGGTTTTTGAGATATCAACATGTACATATCTATGTATGTACTCTTGTTTCATTTTAATTTAATTTCTTTTTTTTTACTAATTAAAAAATGCTTAAACATTTATTTTATAAACAATATTAATTTTTTTTTTTAATATCAAATCACATTTTTTCTTTCCATTTATTTTCCGATTTGCCTACATCAACCCGCATTTCGCAACGCATTCGATTGCGCGCAACAGTATGAACAGCGTTGTGAATAGCACAGCGCCCAGTACAGCTAGCTTCATTGAAACGAATGGCACAGCAGCAGTCGCAGCCGCAGTTGCCGCATCGACGATGACCGAATCATCAGCAACAACAACAACATTAAAGCCGAATTTCATCGTACAAGCGAAACCAATGACATCGCAAATTGATCCGCTCAGTCATGTCGGTGATGGTATCTTCCTGCAGACAAAAACCGCCCAAGGACTTGCGACCATTTTCGTCTGGGTGGCGCTCTTCATCACATGCCAACAGGTGGGTACATCTTTGCATTGCTATATATATATTCACATTAATATTCATACATTTCTCTCGGCCTATATAGATTTATCAGCATCTGCGTTGGTATACAAATCCACAGGAGCAACGTTGGATAGTACGTATACTATTTATTGTGCCCATGTACGCAACATATTCCTGGATTAGTTTGTTTTTCTTCAATTCCGATAATGTGTACGTGTATTTCTTTACCGTGCGCGATTGCTATGAGGGTGAGTAGGCGGATAGAGGGAGCGCAAGATCGATGTATTTTATTTGTAATATTTTCTTTTCACAACTCTTTCCCTTGTATAGCGTTTGTTATCTACAGTTTTCTGTCGCTCTGCTATGAGTACCTTGGCGGTGAGGGCAATATTATGTCCGAAATACGGGGCAAACCCATTAAGAGCTCGTGTATGTATGGCACTTGCTGCCTGAAGGGCAAAACGTATACAATCGGTTTCCTACGTTTTTGCAAACAGGCCACATTGCAATTTTGCTTGGTGAAACCACTTGTGGCATTCATAATTATTTTCCTGCAAGCCTTTGGCCACTATCACGATGGTGATTGGAGGTAGGTTGGCGTATTGAAATGAGAAAATACATTTTCACATTTAAATAATATTCGTATTTAAATTTTTACAGCGCAAATGGTGGCTACATTTACATTACCGTTATTTATAATATATCCGTTACTCTTGCCCTCTACGGTTTATACCTATTCTATTTTGCTACGCGTGATTTACTAACACCATTTGAGCCAGTTTTGAAATTTTGCACAATCAAATCAATTATCTTCTTATCGTTTTGGCAAGGTGAGTCAGATTTACATACTTTAGAACGAAATAAAAATTTACTTTTAATTTTTTTAATTTTCCTTACAGGTGTTTTGCTGGCCATTTTGGAAAAGGCCAAAGTCATCTCACCGATTGTGGACAGTGCAGGCACTGTCACTTCAGCTGGTACTGTTTCGGCGGGTTATCAAAACTTTTTCATCTGTATTGAAATGCTGTTTGCTGCGATTGCTTTGCGCTATGCATTCCCCTATCAGGTGAGTCAAAACACTTTTATACTTTTTTTATTTTTCTTCTTTATTTATTTATTTTAATAATTAGTTTTCGTGTTTATGACTAATTTTGACATATACAAACAACGAAAGTTAAGTGCTTTCATTTTACTACTGCCAGACGTGCTTGCTAGATACAATATTGCTCCTCATTGATAAGATAAATGTAATATATGAAATGTGAATATATACCAAAGAGAATTAATAAACATATTTCGCAAGCAATTAGCACTATTTGCACATCTTGGTGTGAAGCTCTTCATCTATCATATACCAGCACCACCATGGTACGTAGAAAGTGACGATCGATGATTGGTGAAAATTAAAAGTAGCTAGGCATGTAAATTTTCTTTGACGCTTTTATGTACAAAGCGAAATTGATAGGCATCGGAGCGTGGCAAATATTTTTTTTGTGCTAATTTTTTTTTTTATTAAGATAGCTATTTATTTGTTTTGTTTTGCTTTCTTTTTCTGCTCTTTCATACGCTTTGAATGTGCTGAATAATTATTCACTTCATGCTGACTTGCATTTGAACGAAAATTATTTATTTATTAAGATAGCTATTTGTGGCGATATATATATATATATATACATATATACATCATTAACGGGTAATCACAAGTGTTAATTTTTATGAATCATGTGGTAAATGAACGCGAAATTTTCAATTTAGGTTTTTGGATAAATAGAAAAAAAGGACAAAAGTTCCTATTAGTTAATTAATTATTTTGTATAATTTCTGCTATTCGTTTCGCACATTCTAAGAGAATTTTGAAACTTCCATTTATTTTTTAAGATTTTTTTAAATTAAAATTAAATAAGAAACAATAAGTTGTTCACCACATTTTAAAGCAATTTTTTGTTCAACATTTTGATTTTTATTTATTTTTGTTTAGTTCAATGATTAAAACAAAACAATAAAAATATAATTTTTAAATTAACCTGCTTAAGTACAATATATTAAAAGTGCATATGTATCCATAAATTTTGCATTGTCTATATTGGGACTAAAATGAATAAACTAGACAACAACTGGTACAAAGACAAATTTTTCTTTCAAATTTATAACAATGATTTTCGTCCATATTTTACTATTTTTAACATTTTTACATTTTTTTATCTTTGCTCTAAAGGTTTATGCACGCAGCTGTATTGCCGACGGCCAGGGTCGCTCTGTAACCATGCAATCGATTTCAAGCAGCCTTAAAGTATACTAAAATCAATTAAAAATTTTGTATGCATATAATATACAATCTTTAACTTTCCAGGAAACCATGAACCCCAAGGATATTATGACAGATGCTATACACAATTTCCATCCACAATACCAACAGTATACACAATATAGTTCCGGTAAGTACATTAATAGCATTTTTTTTTTACAAATATGTATCAGTGTGGCATGTTTCTTTTGTCTTGCGAAATGTTCTTGTGCGCTTACTAACTGTGCATGTTTGTTATTTTATTTTATTGCTGGTAAAGCTTATACTGAAAAATCATATAATCATTACTATCTAGTTTTTCATGTGACTCTTTGAACTTTATAATTCAATTTCTAAAACTATGCTGTCGTCTGAAATACCTAAATACCTCAAACATGTTAAAACGTTTTGACAATTGCACCAAAATATACTAATTTTCAGCACTTCTTAGTTATTGTGTCGACAATGTACAGGTGTTGGTTAGTTTGTAGTGTTAAAGCGTAGGTTACTCAACCACTTAGCTCTTCTACTTGCACACTATTCACTTTCTAAGGCTACATTTGTGAAGTTGAATCCAAGTTCCAGAGGAAAAACTAAAAAAAATTAGTTCTTTTTATTTACCATTTTGTTTTGGTTTTGGTTAAATTTTTTGTTTTAATTATATATATATAATTTTTTAACACATCCTACCACATTAGGTTTCTTCAAAAATTTGTTTTTTTCTCTTCTATTCTTTTTACAGAAGTTACCTCGTCTCAGCGTTATGAGAAACTTTAAAATTGTATGGCTGACAATGTGCTAAGAATAGCAGCCGCGTTGGGGAAGACAAACAAAAAGCAAAAAAAAAAAAAAAAAATGTTTTGAGTGTAGAAAATGAGAGATTGAAATTTAACAAAGCAATGCTTAAAAAGAATTAAGTATTTAATAAATATGCAAGCAAAAACGAGGAATGAAATGAATTCTAAAACGATATTTTCTATATATACATACATAGTGCTATTACGTTGACAAAATGCCTTTACGAAGTGCATTTGCTTACCAAAATTGCCTTATCAAAAGAGACATATATATAAACAAAAATATAATATACATTTATAAATTGCAAAAAGAAAACTAAAAATTTTGCTTAACAAAAGAAAAACGAAATATTGAAGCAAACGAAGTGAAAGCAAAAAAAAATTTTAGTGCTTAAGTTTATATACATAAAAATCAATCATGAACACATACACGTAAACACAGGTTTTCATCTGCGCAAGAGGTATTGTTTTATTATTGTTTTTTTTTTTTTAATTTATACTTTTCTTTATTTTAAAATTAAGTTATTTTATATATTCGAGCCTTCTTTTTTGATAAAAAATTATTCAGCATCCGCTTTGATATTTTTTTTTTTGCTTATAATTAAAAAATAAAATCAAATGTATTCAAATGATCCTAATGAATAAATATGTTTTTTGTCCGTTTATCTTTATTTATGCTTCGTTTTATACTTTTCACTTTCTTAAATAATCACTCCTATGCTTTTACGGTTCAAAACTTTATGAATATGTATTCAAATTTTATTTTATTTTTCTTTGACCTTTTATTATCATTTACCTGCTAGTTAGTCTATTTATTGCTGTAACATATAATTATTCTCTAATTTAGGAAAAAATAGAAGAGAATAGAATAAAATAATATTCTACGTAAAAAAAGCAACTCTATTTAAACTGAAACTAAATACAAACTTAATTTTCTTATACTCAAGCACAAATCGCAAACTCAAGCATTTATTTCTTGTGGTACTTTTCGCACGGTACTTAAAGGTCAAAGTACTTAAAATTAACAAAGTGGGGTGTTCTGTTAGGGCTCACACGATTGTTAGTGCTTTGTCAATAGCATTTTTCATGCTGTAGAGGGGAGATACAAGTTTTTTTTTGTGCTATTTCAACATATATAGTTAATATTCTCTTCATTTATTTTTTCTTTCTTTAATTGATTGCTTTTTTTTAATATGTTACCAGAAAAATCAGTTTTCAACATGCTAAATGCTAAAAAAAATATCCTTAAATTGTACTCCTAATTGTAGGCAACATTTTCGTAACAAAATCTTTTGCTTATTTTAAGCTTAAGTGTGTGTGGCCTTCATTTAGGATGCGTTTGCATAATCGTTGTTTTTTTGCTTTGTTTTTTTATTAATTGAACTCCATTTAGCTTCGTTTAAATGTGTGCTTTCTTAGCAAAATGTATTCTTTGCATTTAAGGCATTTCCTAGATATAATTTAATAATTTATATTATATAATTGTAATTTTTATTAATGTTAATTGGAGTTGTACAGATAAAAAAAATTACAAATTATAATTTCTATTGCTAACAACCGCAAGCGACTTCAGCTATTAATTTCTTTGTGCTTTTTTTATGTTCTTTAAGAGTGAGTAGAATGCATTTTGAATTAAAGCTACAACTTGCGACAATTTATTTTAATTATTTTTCTTTAAGTCGCTGCTTTGCTCAAAATTTAATAGAAATAAAATAAAAATTTTGAATTTATTATTTTTATTATTTTGAAAAAAAGAGAAGAAATTCCCGCTTTAAGTGATTTAATTTTAAACTCAAAATAACTAATTTGGTATTATAACTTCTTTATGTTAATTAAACAAAAAAAAATCAACTGTATAAAAAAACCCTTTTTCGCATTCTTAGTTAATGTTTTGTTTTAGGAATTATTGTATGCATAATTTATTTTATGTAATTACAAATTTTTACATTTTATTATGCTTAAACATACCACATATTGCACACCTATATTATTATTACTATTATTATTATTATTATTATTATTATTATTTTTTTTAGCTTTTAATGTGATACAAAAAAGCATGTAAAATTCTTATGCATAACTAAATGTACTAAAGATTATTTACTACGATGTATGGAAATTTCATATAAAAATTAAAAATTTTTGAAATTACAAAAAAAAAAATATTGTATGAATTTATTTTAGAAATTTTAAATAAAATACGTGTGCTTAAGTAAGATTATATGTGTTTTTATTATTTCATATTTTTGTAAAGGTATGTGTGACTTTTTAATTACAAAACGAATTAATTAATGCAAAAATTAATTCCTATTCTAATACTGGAGAAAAAAATAGTGAATTTTCAATAGCAACATTGCTGGAAGTTTACATTGTGAAACTTTTAGTTCTATAGATTTTGGTGCAATAGGCACTTAATGTGGAACGTTATTGAGTGCTCGGCTAAGGTCGATTTAGAAAAAGAAATAATCACTGGGAAATTTTTTCCCTATTTTTGTAATTTACGAAATTTCGTAAGATTTTTTGGAAAATAAATCCGCACTAATAATAGGACAAAAAATGTAATTTATCAGAGAGGAAAATCGTATAATTTAACCAGAAATATAACATAAGCTTATAATTAAAAATAAATATATTTTTTTCCCCCAAATAAGTTACCAAAATTCCTTTAATTAACATTTTTTTTTAATAATATTTTTTTTCCCATTACTCATCCAGCATGTCGCTCAGTTTTGTAATGCACTTTTGCATCTCAATAAATAGTTAGTACGCATTATGTGATGTCATTATTCACATTTTCTTTAGATACACTCATAAATCTATTGCCATCTATGCAAAATTTTTTCCCCTCTTCACCTCTCTAGGTGGCAAGAATTCACGTGGTATACGTGTCTCCTCCTATGATCCTGATGAACCAAGCGCCGCTCATCATGGCAACAGCAGTAATACAGCGATTGGTAATAACGGTACAATGAATAATTCGGCTAATGCCAGCACTGGAACACCTGGTGGCAGCATCACCAGCTGCATTGCCTCCAAAACACTGGGTAATCAAAGGAAATTCATGCCAGGTGGTCAGAGAGTCGCTACAATCAGCCAGAATTATAATGAGAAGACAATGCTGCTGAGCAGTGATGATGAATATCAGTAGAATACTGTTTTTGATTGAGCATGAAGCAAGAATAAGGAAGATGTGCCATTGTGGTGAAGTGAGTAATGGAAGCAAGCCGCCCTAAAAGCACTTTTTAAATACAATAAATAAAGAAAAAAGCTGAAAACTCACTGATTATACTGAAGAAAACAAAGCGAAAGTATATACTTATGTACATTTGGACGTGTGTTGGCGTTTTGATTGTCATTTTTTTTTTTGCTATTATTGTAATTTATTTTAAAAGACGAAATTGTCGTCTGGAGTTTCATGGTGAGGCTGAATTTCTACTCTAAAATAAATGTATAAAATTATATTCAAATACGAGTATTGTTATTTTTGCAAAATTCTCAAATTTAGTATCAGTACAAATAAATTAATAAAAATAATTTAGCAAAAAAAAAAAAAAAATTGTAATTGCCAGCAAGCGCAGTTAGGGTGCTATTTATAGATTTCATACTAATTTTTATTTACTAGAAAAAAATACTGTACATGTATTAGTGAATTCCATATTTCTGTTATACCGTTATTGAGGTTATGTTGCATATTATATTATTTATTATAAAACATAAAAGAAAAATGCAGAACTAAACTGCCGTTAGTTACTTTACGCTTATGCTTTCACACATACACCGTTTTACATACATATGTATATAAATAAGTTCATATATATATATATATGTGTAAGTAATGAGTTCTTCTAGCAAAATATGTAATCTTTTAAAAAGAAAACTTAAAACGCTTCTCTACAGCAGAACCAACAAATGTCCAAACATTGTTTTTAGTGTTATTATGAAAAAAAGTAATAATAATAAAATAATAAAATATTACATATTATTATTATTTTTATTATGTATGTGTATATACAATTGTATAACACATAGCCGTCATTGTCGTTTGGTGGTCGTGTGTGTATGTGTATGTATTTTAAAGTCTTTAAAATAAATATACATGCTTATATTGAAAATGGAAATAAAATTAAAATCCGAATATGATGGATTGCCAGAATTAAATAATGTACTTAGAGACTAGCAGGAAGTACTTGATGATACTTGTAGAGTTAGATAAAAGCAAGAGCGAGAACTGGATTACATGTATGGCTAAAGTGTGTAGTAAGGAAGTAATTAGATATAAGGATAATTTTTGAAAATCTAGATACGGCACTCAAAAGTAAGGAATAATATATTAACTGAACTGGCGTGTGGAAACAATAATCAAAAAATATAAATTTTATATATGTATATAATTGATTTTCAATACAATTTTCCTTAAATGGCTACAATTGTTATGATTTAAATTTAATATTTTGAAAATCTCAGTAATTTTTTTTTTAAAACAATGGTTTTAGACTTAAGCATCAACCTTGATTTTATTTGTTTTGAAACTCAAAATAAATTTGCACTTTATTTTGTAAAAACTTTTTTATTCCTTAAATTGGTATACTTTTAAATTTCGAAAATTTATTAATTTTGGAAACTAGAGAAAATTAATTATTTTAATTCTATTATATCTAATAATTTTATTATATCTTGAATGGTGACTTTAAATTATTTTTTAACAATGTAGTTTATTATTAATCAGATAAATACTGTTTTTTGGTGAACTTAAAGTTTATATAATTTTTTTGTGAAAATATCTTTCATAAATAATAAAATAATATTATACAAGTTTCTTTTGAAAAATGGTAGAATTCTGTAAAAATTAATATTTTTATATATACTTGAAACACTGTGATTTTTAAATTCGAACCTGTAATTATTTATATATTAGATATGTATTCAATGTGGCAACAAGTTCTGATATTAGATGAATTTGATTCAGTAGAATTTTTTTTTAACTATTGCAAATTTTGATCTCTTATACCTTTGATAATTCTGAAATTTGTGAGTTGCTTCATTTGCTTGTTTAAAAGATATGGAATGTATTAAACCAAAATTCGTATATAAATTATTAAAAAGCTAATTATTTTTTATTAAAATTATAAACTAACTTCTTTTATTAAAAAATAATGGAATTTATTAAACTCTCACTTTTATTTAATTTTTTTATATCAAAATTATAAACTTTTTATTAAATAAATAAATATTAAAACCAACATAAATATGCATATATATTTAAATTATTAAAGAAAAATTTGCTAACAAAATATAAAAAAAAAACATTGTTTTATTAATATTATAATTTGTCTTTAATTATATTTAAATTTTGTTTTTATATGAATGTTTTTTTTTTTAAATAAATTTAAATATACCCCCATTCATCTCCTACCGGTTCAGTTAATATTGGCGCAAAGAATTTAATTAAATACGTTAAAAATATTAATAATTTTTTTCTGTAAACAAATTTGTATAAAAATGTATGAACAAATTATTCGAAAATAAATTATTAACAATGTATGTATGTATTTATGTATAAGGTTTACAGAAAATACACAAACTTTGTGTAAGAAAATATAGCCTATTTATTCAATTAAAAGCATACGAAAAAAAAATTAACTCTAAATAAAAAAATCTTGTGAATAATTTTCAATATATTCTTCAAATGCTTATTTCAAGGTGCAAGACAAAGAGAAAAACTGAAACAAAATATAAATGAAAATAAAGATGAAAGAAAATAAAAATAAAAGATCCAAAAAAAGTGGTATAGAAATTAAAAGAATATTATTTTTGAATAAAAAGCTGTTCTCTGGCGCTAACGCCTATGTCCGACATGATTTTTGGGAATTTACCTTTTGAGCATCAAAAGTGGAGGAAAAATATTTTGCTGCAATGGGAAACTTTTATACGAATTTATATACCATTAATTGTACATATGTATTTATGTGTGTAAGTATATGTAGGCTGAAAGTCCTTCATGTCTCGAAGGCAAACTGATAAGCATTCAATTGTTAGTAATTATTTTACAGTTAGAGCCAATAACAACTTCAAATGGGTGGTCTATGCAAAATTGTTCTGTAACGGATAACGGAGCGCCGTGTAAGAGAAAGAGTATAAGAAAGCGAACAATTGAAATGGTAAGTCTCTGCGTGCCAAAAGCACTTAATCAAAAAGGACACTTGTTTTGTGGGTGTAAGGATACTCCATATGTGCATACTTACGCATGTTTGTCGGTGTACTCCCACAGATTTGCATAAGCTTTGTGGTTATTATTTTCACTAAAGCCATTTTCCATTAACTGCACTCGCACACTCACGCTCACAGAGAGAGAGGGAGAGAGAAGGAGTGCGTGCGAGGCATAAATGTATGCAGGTGTACCGTTCTAATGGTTAACATATATTGTAATATACATACATATGTAAGTATGTTCCTGCTTCCCAAATGTAAAACAAATAAATTGGAATTATGCACTTGTAAATGTATACATATTTACATATATACATATCTATAACCTCTCTTTTTTTCAAATATATATTCTCCAACTCTGTTTTCCGTAGTATGCATATACATACATACATACATACAAACCACATATTTGCATATGCCAATAATCTCATTGTCATTGCTACTCCACACTCTTCCTACACACAGTGAAATATGTGATTAATGTATAATACTACCAATAGTCGTTACTCTTGTGATTATTTCATATGTTGTTGGTTTGCTTTTGTTGCTTTCACATTTAAAACGGTATTGGTTACGGTTATGGTTGTGTGCAGATAAGCAAAATTTTCATATATTTATTCATGACGTTCATTTGTACACACATACACATACATATGTGCATACTGCGAGGGGATGCATAAAATTTTGACTCGAAAAACTAAGTTAAATCAAGAAAAAAGTGCCATGCCGAAGTCCCTATATCTTTTACGAACCTTACAAATTTATTGCAAACGTCGAAAATCGATTTCCTGGTCTTACTGGGTAAATATTTATTTGAATTTTTTTTTTCGACGTTGTTTTTGACCCAAAACCTCTGAACAAGTCAACCATTGAACAGATTCACCATGCGACAAATCTTGGAAAAACCCGTGTAAAGAGGATCGACACCCACCAATTCTTCAGTCTTTGCATTCGCGACTTGGCTCCCACGTCACTGTTGACAGTCATAACTTTGAAGTCGTCTATCTAGGAACCAGCATTAACACCAATAATAATGTCAGCCTTGAAATCCAACGCAGAATCACTCTTGCCAACAGGTGTAACTTTAGACTGAGTAGGTAATTGAAAAGTAAATACCTCTCCCGACGAACGAAAACCAAACTCTACAAGTCCCTCATCGTTCCCGTCCTGCTATATGGTGCGGAAGCATGGACGATGACAACATCGGATGAATCGGCGTAAGGAGTTTTCGAGAGAAACGTTTTGCGTAAGATTTACGGTCCTTTGCGCGTTGGTAGCGACGAATACCGCGGATGATGGAACGATGAGCTGTAAGAGTGATATGGCAGCATTGATATAGTTCAGTGAATCATGAAGCAGCTGTTACGCTGGCTAGGTTATGTGATCCGTATGGATGCGAATACTCCAGCTTTGAAAGTTTACGATGCAGTATCCGCCAGTCGAAGCTGACGAAGAGGAAGACCTCCACTTCGTTGGAAAGACCAGGTAGAGAAAAACCTGGCTGTACTTCGTATTTCCAATTGGCGCCAAACAGCAAAAAGAAGAAACGAATAGCGCATTGTTGTAAATCGGCTATAAAGCGCGAGAAACAGATCCCTAAATCCATCTATAGCTAAAATAATGGATGACTTGCCTTTGAACGCAGCGCTCATGGTAAACCATGAATCTTGTTTTTGGCTCTCAGTCATCCAGGAGGGAGCGTAAATCTATTAATTCCATAGAGGATTACATCAAAATTTTGCACACTCCTTAAGTATTAAAGAATGTTTCGTTCATATTTTTTCGAAGAATTTATTTTTTTAGTGATTTCTGAGAAATATTTTCACAGTATATTACATATATTCGCACATAGCTTGGAGCGTAAATGCAAAAATTCCAGTTATCAAAAAGGATAATTGCCGGCTGTTGCCTGGCAACTGAGTTGTATTGCTGTTCGCTTATTTTACAATAACAGCAATTCAATTGAAAGTGTCGGTTTTACTACGTTTGAAATTTTAATATAGAAACAAGTGCTTACCATTTATGTATCCCTGCAGGACAATCCACAAGTTGCTGTTCTTTTGCGAAACTCGAGTGCAGATAGGGAATTCATAAAAAAAATGAGTAAGAAAAGTTAATTTAGGTTGTTAAGGGAACTTGTTAACGGTTCTATTTCATGTCAGAAATACACCTTGAGGGATTGACATTCCCTGTCGAGGGGTTACCGCATTCGATTTTCCATACTTTCGGATGTTGGTCGAACGAAAGCAATGCTAATCAC